CTTCCTTGTCTTCACAATTTTGAATGTTGTACCCAAATATTTTCTTCTTTGGGTTCTCTACTCGTTTCTCCATCCTAATCGCGTTGAACGTCTCGTCAACCCGATTCTCTTTCTCTACCCTCTTCCAGAGCGGCAAATCTTCCTCCTCTGGCGACGCCTGCACTACCGAGATCTTCAGGTCGTCTTTCACCTTCTCGGACAGCATGTCTGATTGCAGAAGGGTCTGATGCAGATTAGGATCCTCCTTCGCTCTTAGGATCTCAGTTTCCCTTTGAGTTAATGCGTCAGCTTTTCCGTTGGCAGCTCCTGGGCGATATCCGATCTTGAAGTTGTATTGAGATAACAACTCCGCCTAGCGTGCTTGCTGACGTGTTAGCTTCTTTGTTGACATAAAATACTCCAGAGCCTTATGATCTGTGAGTACTCGAACAGGATCCTCTCCTAATAAGCGCAGCTCTAGCGACCATTCTTTAAAGCAGCGAATAATAGCCAGCAGTTCCTTGTCATAAATAGCGTAATTACGCTCTGCTAGTGCCATGCTTGCTGAGAAGAACGCTACTAGATAGAGTTCTTCATCTTTGTCTCTTTGCGAGAGTACACCACTAATAGTATGATCACTGGCATCGCATTCCACAACCGTCTCCTTCTCAGGATTGAAATGAGCTAGGACTGGCTCCTTCGAAATCAGATCCTTCAGCGCCTGGAATGCTTCTGTACAACGGTCATCCCAAATACGCCCTGCATCCTTCTTCAATAAGTCATTCAGCGGCCTTGCTACCTTGCTAAATCCTAAGCAGAATCGTCGATAGAAGTTGACAAACCCTAGGAATCTCCGCACCGCGCGGATATCTCCTGGCTTGGGTTTCTCCCACTCCCGAACGACTCGTACGCGCTCTGGATCCATCCGAATGCCCTCTGGAGTCACGATCAAACCGAGATACTTCACTGACTGTGTATAGAACTCGCATTTCTTGATGTCAGCCTGAATATTACTTTTGCGGAGAATCTGTAAGACTTCCCGTACGTGTTGCTCGTGTTCTTCTCTCGATTGGCTGAAGATCAAGATGTCGTCTAGGTACAGCACAACGAATTTTCCAAGCACCTTCATGAATTTCTCGTTCATGAAGCGTTGGAACGTCGCCGGCGCAGAGGTCAATCCGAATGGTAATACCCTATATCGGTAGTTGCTATACGCAGTGCTGAACGTGGTGAGTTCGCAGTCCTTCTTGGTCGCTAAACGAATCCGGTGATATGTCTGTCGAATATCCAGCTTGGAGAAGACTATAGCTTTTCCAAGAAGACTCATAGTCTCGTCGATCCGAGGGATGGCGTAGCTATTCTTCTTTGTAATAGCGTTCAGATCCCTAAAATCGACACAGAAACGGAGTCCCCCTTAAGGTTTCCGTACCAGAAGAATTGGCGATGCGAACGAGGCGGTGCTTGGTTCAATGAACCCCTTCTCGAGATGCTCCTCGATGTATTTCTTGACCACCTTGAGCTCCTCTGGGCTCATCCTACGCAGGGGCTGCGTCCGTGGCAGCTCGGCACCTGCTTCCAGTTCGATCTTATGGTCGTACTCCTCCCTGTGCTCCGGAAGAGTATCAGAAGCCTCCTTCGAGAAGACATCTGCGAATTCTCGAAATTCCACTGGAAGAACCTCCTTCGGGTCTGGTTCTGGCTGGATCTGTTTTTCAACATGTTCATTTATGTCCTCTATTGTGATAGCGAACATTTCTGCACCAGGGGTGGTTGACAATCGCGCGAATGCTGTGATGCTCACAGGCTCAGTGCTGTGCTGGGCTGCCCTGGCCTCTTTGACCTTTCTTCTGTGGGTGATAGCTGTGGTTGTCCTGCTACCCAGAGTCTTCTCTACCTTGACAGGGCGTAGAGGTCGCGAAACGGCCGGGGCTGTCTCAGGACGCTTGAGAATCTTCGTCACCTGTAGTGGCAATGTCCTGATCAGGTTAGTCTGGAATTTGGCTGTACATGTATAGCCAAATTCGTCACGTGACTTCTTCATCGGTTCTTTCTCTGCTGCTTGCTCCTTAGCCTTGGGCTTGTTACTCTGACTCTTGCAGTTCTGCTGGAATATAAGTTGCTCTTCACAATCGCAATCCCTTGCAAACTTTACTGATAAATCCCTGGGATCTGGAATGCAGCCGTGTAGCCTCATCCACTTCTTCCCCAAGATCATAGGGTACGCAGCCTTCGTCACATAGAAGATCTGCGATCCCTGCTAGTGTTCGCCAACGCGTATAGGCAAATGGAGGGCCTGAGAGATGGATTGATGGATCTCACTAGCAAAATCAGAGATAGGAATAGGTTTGGCCAGGTCTACTATATCAATTTGCAACCTTTTACAAAGTTGTTCTGCTAATTGATAATCTATGACTGCGCTTAACCGACATCCTGTATCTAATAGTGCTAATACCGTCAATCTTTCTTTTCCCCTCCTAACGCTGACGTCAACCAGAAATGGAGCCTCGAAATCACCCTCCGCTACTGCGACGGGGATCCCTATGGCTTCTCCATTGGTTGCGTTGCTGGGCCCGCTCACGACGTCTTAGTGGCGGGCAGCTCTTTTCCTGATTGCTCTTGTGCCTGAGGGCAATCCTTTACGTAGTGTCCCATTTTCTCGCAACGGTAGCACCTTACTGTGGACACATTTCTCGGAAGTCGTGGCTTAGCCACTAGCCTCTCCTCCTTCGCTGTTGATTCGCTAGCAGATTGACGGGTGCTAGGAACCAAAGGTTTCGCTGGCGTGCTGGCGCTGGCTGCTGGTTTATTTGAGGCAATACGTTGACTGTTCATGTCGGCGTATGTCAGGTCTGTAATCATCTCCTGAATTGATGCATATCTGCGGAGAATGATCACTTGCTTTAGATCATCTCGAATCTTGTCTCGAAGGTCCACGATCTGATCCTCTTCTCGGACCTCTGCTTCGTGAGAAAGCCGTCAGAAATCCCCTAAGAATGCAGCGAGGTCCTGCTGCCTTTGCTGTAAGTAGTGATACTCCTTATGAGTAGTCTCTTGTCGAAACAGAGAATCGAATCGAGTTGAAAGGTCCGCAAATATATCTGAAATCTGGGCCCTCTCGAAGTCCTCGAAATATGACCTAAGCAATTCCCGAGCGTCGCCGCCTGTGCGTGATTGTACATAGGCGACCTTGGATAGCTCTGTCGGAAAGAGCGCCGCGTTAACCATGAACTTCATCTTCATGGCTGACAACCAAGAGCGAAACTTCTGAGGAGATCCATCCTCAAAGACCTCTGGATGAGGCAGCTTCTCTGTCTTCGTACCAAGCACTGTCGAGGGGCTCGGAGTCGCTTCCAACGAGGCCTGCCTTTGAGGCAGCGACTCTTGTTCCGTTGAAGTCCCCGATGGAGATTCCACTCGAACTTGCGGCTTTGGTATCGCCGTAACCTTGTCGCGGAGGTTCTGAATGATCTCCTCCTTGTCACGGAGTCGATCCTTCAGAGCCTCAATCTCGATGCTAGTGCCTCCGTCAAGGTCTTGGTATCTTTCTTCCCAAGTTTCCTTCTCCTGGAGGACTTCTCGATGCTCGGCCTCCTTCTCCAGACGGAGGGCTTTCTCTTCCTCGTAGACAGCTGCCAATGTTAGTACAAACGCCGCTGCGTGTGTCTGATTCTCGTTGACCAGTGCCATGAAGGCTGGAAGAGCCGATGGATCATCCGTCGCTCTCTCCGCGTGTTCGATCAATGCGCGCAGGGCGTCTTGATCCGTAGGAGGGGCTTCGTCTAGGCTCCGTCTCCGGTTGCTCAAGGAAGGATAGCGAACTTCGCCACTCTCCCTTCTCTCTGTTTGATCACGAACCATCTTGACTCAATAGTTCTCAAACCTTCGTACGGTACAGGGTATTTGTATCGAACGGACCTTGCGTTACTCCCGGAGCAACGACTTTCTCACACAGTCAAATAACCCCAGATGGGTTCTCCAATGGCTAACTAGAACAAGTCAATAGTCCATAGATTGCTAAAACGTAAGCTGAGGAGTCTATCTACATTGCGGCCAGCGCTCTACTCTATATACTCCTCCATCGAACACAAGGGGTGCTACTAGTTAACCTGCGCAGAGGATCCGACGGAGTATCTGCAGGGCCAGAAGCGGTAGCTTCCCTCTGGAGGAGATTGTACTTCCCTAAAGGGGTCGTATCAATCTCCTGTTCCATGGTACTCGTACGGGGAGCCACGTGCCGTACGGATGCCTCTATCGGCGGCATAGTAGCTTGACGGCAAGAGTTCCGCGTGCCGTTGTGGATACGCCATCGGCGCTGCCATCCGAGTGCGTGGCTGGTCCCGTGTATTTCCTGCGCCATAGCAGAGGAGATACTCCATCCATCACACTGTAGTCTTAGCGCTCTAAAGCACTGATTATTTCTCAACCAATCTCAAGTAGACAGAAAGAGATATACTTTATCTCATTAGAATGCTGATCCTTATGGACCGCATTTTTAAGCTTACCCCACTTTCCAGCGAATTACTTAAGCCTGGTGGTGCTTTAACATTAGAGAGATGATAATGGGTGACGTGTTGCCTTAGCCAAGAGAGGCTAGACCCAAAACCGCACATCACTAGCGACTAGACTGGATTCCCAATAATAATCGCTTGACCATTCACTTCAATCGACAACCAGGTGTTCACCATCATTGCACTGCACTGCGCCGCCGCTCGAAGCCGGCGTTGCATTCAAGCACGTGCCGAATCAGCAATTGATGAGCAACGATGTACCACTGACTCCGAACGGGCCGCACTACCTCATAATGCAGCATGACAGCAACCTCGCGCTCTACCAAACCGGCAGCTCTGACAGCAAGACGCAGCAAACTCTCTAAGAATACGGATCCCGGCCTAGCAAGGAGTGGGTACATCTCCGTTACAGAGCACCGCCACACCCGTGGTGCTTGACGCAGATAAACCTGGAAGAGCAGTTCGGGCATGAAGGATATCAAAAATGTTGCACTTGAACTACAGTGCAATGACAATATTAGTTATCAAAGTGGGTGGAGCGGTGACTTGGAGCACGATCACGGCTGTGAAATCGACGATGTAATCCATGGACACACAGAGTACTCGCTATATAGTATTGCAGCGGGCAGAGCTCATGTGACACGTCACATGTCACCTTTAAAGAATTTTGGAATTCCCGCTTGCTGTCCAGAATGAAGAGCTCAACACATGCGCTGCAAACTCAAGCCCAAGTGATCTCCAAATCTTCTTTGAGCGCTTCAATGAATATCCACAGTTCATGAATGGAAAGCTGTTTGAAGATACTTCACTCCATTCCCGTTGTACTCACTTAATCTATAGGAAAGGTAGACTTGAGACAAGATCAAATCTAGGTATTTCCTCAATGCCCTTTTACTATTTCTTTCAAGCAATGGATACAAGTTACTCGATGTTCCCTCCTCTCTTCCACTTTTCTAAAGTCTCTCTCTTTCGGTGAGTCTCCTTGCCTTCATTCGACACATCTTTTTATGGAGGTCTCTTTACAACTCTCTTCGCTTGAAATATATGGCACGCAGTATCCTCTTCCTCCCTGACTTTGTCGTTTGGATTCGGATAGTGTAAGTGTCGAAGCCTGTCGTGTAAGGTAACAACGTACGAGAAGGAAGCCGATAGATTGGAAGAATGCTGGATTCATAAGCTGTACAAAAATGATCAGAGTTTCCTGTTGACGAATGTGACGCGCTGAGCCCTACCTATTGCTTGAAATTGCTTGAAGTTTTGATAGCTGATGAAGACCCCGATCACCGTGGCTGCGATGCCTGGAATGCTGAGAATGAGTGTGGCAAGGGCAAGGGTCTCGCTCGGAGCAAGAGCTGTGGTGTTTTCAGTCGTCTTGGAATGAATATAGGTCCGACCACTTCTTACCCATGATACCGTGAAGAGCTGGAGAACTGCTATCGGCCTATGAGGAGAATATACTGAGCTGGGAGGCAATGGAGAAGTCTGCTTCATATTACTTTGCCTCGTTAGATCAGATTCACAACGACCCTTCGCTGATACCCAATGGACAATGAAAGCTAATCAAAAAAGTACTATGTAATGTTAAAGCTATGTTGGTCATGTTTGATGGTCCCGCAGCGGCTCAGTGAATTAGTACAACCACAAGGATATCAGTCATTCTGAGCAGTGTCATCCAATAAACCTTATTGTATCAATTTAGGTATCCTAAAAGGATAGGACTTTCTTGCGCACAGTGAGACAGTGAACAACTTAGTTAAATAAAGCATTGCCGCTTTAGCATAACATTCCGAGTCAAATATTCCTAGAGCAGCGAACGCCACAGTCCTCCTCTGTCGCTCATAGGCCAACATCAAGATTGTACTTTTTGTTCTCCTCTGTCGCTCATAGGTCAACATCAAGATTGTACTTTTTGCTGACTACCCCGAGCTGCACTGCCTTGCATTTAGGTTTGTTATGACGTGATGATTGGAGACCCTCAAGCCCGCTCACTGGCCAACATCAAGATAGTACTTTTCGTCGACCACCTAGCTTTACAGCCTTGCATAGGCGTGTTAGGTGTTACATGAACCATGATGATTGGATGCCTTCTAAGCAGATGGCACATAGTGCTAGGATTGAAAGATGAAGGAGGTGACTACATAAGCTGATCTATAAAGCATTGTTTGAGACTTCCTTGTTCTCTACGATCCAAGTCAATCTCAACATCGATCAACTTGACGAACTCCTCGCATTCACATAGAGAGTTCCAACGATCCTGCGTCCTATAACATTGGAGTTATACCTCTAAAATTTCCTTTACAATGTCATTCGAGCCTCTAACATCACACGCCAGCGACAGTACGGACTCGCTTGGCTTGACGTCTTGTCGCAATGAAACGTCGTTCAGCCACTCTAGCGTCCGTTTTCAGGCACAGAATAACCTATTGATGACTACCCTGTCACAGCCTCAGCCTCAGCTTCAGCTTCAGAATGCTCCATCATCCACACGAATGCGGGCTCCAAAGGCTCCCACTATGTCAGCAAAAAAATGGAAGCCATCTGAGAGTCGGATTAAGCAGCTTTATGTCGTCGAAGAAAAGTCCATCAAACAACTACGTGAGATTATCAACAAAGAGTTTGGGCTTATAGCAACGTAAGTGTCCCTTTACATATTCAGATTTATAAATAGACAATAAGACAAGTTGACTAGTTATAATACCCCGTCAATGAAAATAGTCAATTCTCATCAGGCGGCTCTGAATAATATTGCCCTTACTTTCAAGCTAATTTTCCATCTAGAGAGCGCCAATACAAAGCCAAGATTCAACAAATGAAGCTTGAGCGAAACGTAAAAACGAAGGAACGTAGGACAATTCTTCAACATATCCAGCATCGAAAATACAGCGTTGGAAAGGAGAGCAGGCATGTCAGAATTCGAGGCCATAAAATTACTGCAGAAAAGCTGGCTCGATGGATGAAAGAAAGTATTATAAATCATCCAGTGCTACTTACAAGTCCTTTGTCACGTAAGTTAATACATTATACTCCTTTTTTGTCTTATCCGTCATACTAATTGATATAGCAATAACGAGCGAAATAAGTATAGTTACAAATTCTAGTCCCGGATCTCCGACAATGATCCCTAGCGCATTCTCAGAGTACCAGGCACCAGCCATTGAGCCAACAATCCAGAGCGACATGAAAACTGCTGTTATACGAAGACTTTTCGCTCATGTTCACAAACTTGCCTTAGAGGCTCAGGAAGCAAGAAGTATTTTCAAGGATTTCCAGTTGATTCTTGACTGCAAACCAATGAAAATCCATTTCAGGAAGTGGGCTTCTGGATGGAGTTATCAGGAAAACGCTATCCGAAAGAAAATAGTTGCACGAGTGCAAGATTTGATGAACCTTCCTCGGAGGATTATAGTTGATACGGAAGTTAACAGTAGGTTCCAGCATCGTTGCCCCTTTAATCCTGTGTACTAAGAGGAACCTCCAGATCCACATGAGACTACACTTGGCCTATCAAGTCGAAGTCTGGGGGTTATTCCGTCACGAGGCCGTCACAGATGTATATCCTGGATGACACCATACGGAAGCGTACAACTTTCATTGTGGGCCACTTCAGATCGGTCTCCTCCTAACGTTGGTGACGAAGAAACTATTAACTTTGCAGACGAAGCCTTCACCGTAAGAATGGCGATGGTCCCAAGTCGCAAAGTAGCAGCTTCGTCCCTAATCATGTTTGACTTCACTCCACACCTTAATCTGCCAGCGAAGATAACGTACCGAGCAATGATTCCAAATCACTCAGAGGTCTTTCGTATTGTCAAACGTGGCCAAGTCAAAGAGCTGATTCAAGCACTTGAAGAAGGTACTGCACGACTGACTGATCGCGATGAGGACGGACGGTCATTGCTCAACGTGAGTTGTTATAAAGCGTCCTTGAAACGAATAATAACCTCTACAAAGTATGCAGTCCATTCTTCGGAGATAGATATGTGCAAATATCTGCTTGACAAAGGGGCCGACCCTAATGCAATTGAAATAGACGAGTACGGTTGGAGTGGGTAAGTTTAGTCAGTTAGTCTGTCCAATTTTCTCCCTATCTTAATGATGCTGTTATGTTCCTTTAGTACTTCGTGTGCTGATAGGACATGCTAACAAGTATAGTCCATTACACTCTATGTGCCGCATGCTTGACTCTGATATGAATGAGGTAGTATGCAATATGAATGCTCACTGCCGCAAAGCACTTTTGGAAGCTGGCGCGGATCTTTCGCTCAGTTCTGAAGGCGGCGGGTCGCAGAACTGCTTCGCGGAAGCAGTTCGGCTTTACTCTAGTGTAGATTCAAGCACTCCAAGTGAGCTTCGCACTGCGCTAATTATTATTAGGCTACATTGGAGCACATACTAAATATCGAAGGACTATTCATCGGTCCAAAGAATACTTGTAAACCCACCTATTGGGTGGATTCGGAAGAGGAACCCCTATTCCAGCTTGCCCGCCTCTGTGGGTATTACTTTGTTGCGGCATTCCATATTGTTGATAAAGCAATTCTTCTGCTGAAAAGGAAAACCAACATCTTAGGTCGCCTTTCCAATGGAGACAACGTTCTCCACACACTTCTCAAATGCCAACGCTATCATGAAATCGAACCACGCAAACCCAGAGGAGCTGTATTATTCTATGAAGACCGCGTAATGAGGCTACGTGAAAACTCATTTTATCTCAGTGTTACAGAGCCACTGCAACTACTCTTGGCTTTCATAACCGCCGGTGCGGACATATACACAATCAATAACAGAGGTCAAACACCAACTATGGTCGCCCGCAAATATGGCCGGGAGCATGAGTGGGCCGAGGCTCTTGCATTGTGCGGAATTGATCCTGAGGAGGTTTTCGCACAGTCTGATCTAGCTGTCTACAACGATACTCACATCCAGACGTCTAGACTGTCCTTTGACCAGTTCTGTCAGAACCGGCAAGAGCACCTCAGATTCAAGGAAAAATACTTTGGAGAATATTGTCAGTCGTGTGGGGAGAAGTTCCGACCTGAGATAGTATCCTTGGATGAACGCTGTCCAGAGTGTGGAAAAAGGTTCCAACCTAAGGAAGTACCCCTTGAAGGACATTATCGATGGTGGCTAGAGAACTACCTGCATGAAAAGGCACGTTGGACAAAGTATTATCAGGAGTGGCTAGGGAGCTGTCTATCTGACGAAGAGATTACCGATGAGGATGCAGCGATTACCGATGAGGACGCAGAGATTACTGATGAGGACGCAGAGATTACTGATGAGGACGAAGAGATTGCTGATCAAGACGAAGTGATTACTGATCAAGAAGTGATTGCTGATCAAGACGAGGTGATTGATGAGGGCGAAGCGACTAATATAGATGGACAGAGCCGCATAATACGTGCCGCCTACAAAAGCCACGAAAGTATGGAAATCAGCCAGGAACCTGCGGATCTCGATGCGGAGGATATGTTGTGGAGTGAGTGGAGCCGAGAGCAACCCGAAGCAGGAGAATTCGACGACAGAGGTGTCTGCGTCGATCTCCAAGAAACAACCGTTCACGAAAGAGAGTTGAGAGACGGATTCACGAAGGATGCGAACGATCAAGTAATGGGAGGTGGAATCGACAGAGGGAATGCTTTGGATGAGAGCAATCGCAACACCGGCAACCCGATTGCTGACGGTATGAACACATTGGACATGAATATGTTTGATGACTTCTTTGATTTCAGCAGTTTGTAGTACCCAGCGACATAAACATGACTGCCTTGGTTGTGCACTGTTTCGTTTTCAGCGGTCCGCGGCTGGCTTTTTATGTTCCACATTGAACGAGTATGCTTATGTTTTCCTCTCAGCTGGAACAGGCTTCATCTTCCTGATAGCACAGTGATCATTGTTTCTTGCTCTTTTCTCGGCTGAGCATACGCTCGTCGTCCAACCTTCATCCAGTCCTGGAGACCCGAAGCAGTGTGTTTTCCGCTATACCATTGCTAGCCGCCACCTGTCCTAGCTGCATGCCGCTACCCATTCATCGTTGTTACGCCTTCGACCGTGCCCAGCCAGCATGCTACCTGTGGTGAGACATGTATTCGGCATCGCACCGCCCTTCTAGATCCTCAACACAGTGCCTCGAGCCGCACAAGCTTTCCACCCCGCTCAAGCCCGACTTCTTCACACGCCGCATGCTTGACTGGACTCTATACCACGAGTACATGATGATTGTACCAGGATGGCTCGCGACCAGAAACACCCAGACAGCAACCCAAGTGAAGATCTAGTAGGATTGGCTTAATCGTCATCCCTTCAACCTACCCCTCGTCCCTTTGACTTACTTCCTGTTCTGCATATGAAATCGGCTTCCCAACTTTTCGAGAACGAACCACTCATCCTCGCTCTGATCAGCCTTCAGAGTCTCAGCAAAACGGTCACTGGCACAGCCTGACCTCGTCCCTCGGCCGCGCAACCACCTCACAGACTACAACATGCCGCCCAAGAAGGTAAGTGTCTTGAAATGGCATTCAGCTTACGAATGCCAACAGCATCGTTTCTACTTTTTCCGCACCCTACGAACTTCGACACAAAATGCTTGCTTGCTTTCCTACTGCTCTGCTCTGCATGCTTATCTATGTACCCGGCTCAAAACTCTGATCACAGAACAGCTTTTTGGCTTCTGCCTACCTACTTCCTGATGAATGCGTCCTCTTTCCCTCCACTCTCTTACCATCCCTCTCTTATCTTATCCTAGCTCCTCCCCTCCTCAGTTCGTCTTCATCCTATACTCCACTCCACTCCGAACCTCCACCAGCACAAACACAGACATAGATGTCCACCAGAAACAGCTCCCTTGACAGCATCAAACCAAATCGAACCAAATCCAATCAGATCTGACCAGTCAACCAGTCAACTGATTACTCAAAGTAGAAAACAAGATAGATCCGTGGCCCATCATTGACACTGATATTGATATTGACATTGACATTGACATTGACAATTTGAGAACAACGGCAGTACGGCCGCTTCTGCAATCTCTCTAGTGCATGAAATGAAAAAGCGAGGGAACGTCATTCCAGTGTTACCAGTGTATCAGACGTCCATGATTTTCCAAAACCAGCACTATCCTCCTCGGGGCCAAGTTCCTTTTTGGGAAATTCACATCTCCCCTCCGGCTTGGCTACTCTGACCAATCATCCACTCCCCTGGCCCAGTAAACAAGCCCTGTCCTTAAATACCGTCCTCGCACCCATTCCATCCCAGCTTAAGCCGCTCTTTTCTTCCCCCAAACCACTTCTGTACATCTCCAGCCAAGCCCCCTCCTCACTTGTTAATTAGGGCCTACAAGACCCGGACACCACAGCACTCGACTCTACCTCCCCTCACCACCGCTTCGCGTCCCCACCATAGAAGCACCAATTCCTCCACAAAGGACCGGTCGGCACTACTCCACACGTCGAGGCCCATTTGCGCCATGTCTTCGCTTGTTATTTCGACGAGCGCAGTGGGTCTCTCTTCATCGAGGGAGGATGACAGAGAAGGGGTTTTCGAAGAGGATGCTTGAGGGAGGAGAGGTTCATCTTCGCCTTCACCGTTCGAAGGAGCAGCGACTGCCGTGTCCGCGTCTTCTCCTTCTTCTCTTCCTCCCGCGTCCTTCCCTGCCGCGATGTCGGCCGGCTCGTCGGAGGGCGACATGAGTCCCAGACCGTGAACAGCTTCTTCCCTGCTTTGACCCCTTCCAGCGCTCTCGTTCTCGTTGTCATCCGCGTATTTCGTATAATCTCCTCCTCTTCTAACACCCTCCCCATCCACCCGGCTGATAGCGTCGCTAACCGTTGTGAAGATCAACCCAGTTAACCGATGGAAATAACCCACTATAGCCGTCTCTTTGGACAGCCCACCAAACCTCTCTTCGTCCTCCTGTCCTTCTCCCTCTTCCGCTTCAGCTTCATCATGGCCCGAAAGAAGAAGAGCACGATCCTGTTCGTCTTCTGAAACCTGCTGCTCATCATCCTCACCTAACCCCCTCTTCTTCTCTCCAGCAGAAGCCCACCAGATGAAACTCGTATATGCTATCAGTGCCCAGGGTGTGGATTCAATTACTGACGTACGGGAGAAGGTGCTGAACAGACTGGAATCTGACGTCGTAGAGTCCTGGTCCTCGATATCATCGTCGTCCTCCGGGCGGGGTGCTGTGCGGTCTCGTCGTTCTGGCGGTATGTTTGGGGCAGGGGCAGGCGGTTTTGCAGACGGTAGATTGCGCAGATTGGAGCGGAGGGTGAGGTAGCGGCGAAGGTCTCGGCGGGTGGCTTTGATGCCATGTTGTGGGGCGAGACGGGAGAGGAGCGGAGAGCTAGGGTAGATCTTGGGGTAGGGGGTATGCTTTTTAAAAGCGGCTGGAGGGCTTGGTGGTGTAGGGTGGATGATTGGGGCTGATTGGGAGGAAGGAGGCAGGTCGACGAGGATATCGTAGAGTTGGGGTTTTGTGGCGAGGACGTCGTCAGTTGTGCAGGCTATCCAGCTGGGTGAGAACTCCGAGGTGGGTTCGGTGTTGGTGGAGGACTGGTGTTGTGGGGAGTTTTCGAGGATTGGAATGTCGGTGACGCCAACATTGAAAAGGGGACGAAGGCTGAGGGGTGGTATGCTGTCGACTGGTAGTAGTGGCAGGAGAGACTCTGGTACAGACGAGATGATCGAGATATCATAGACTATAAGCTGTCAGTTGTCTGGTACCAAGGACAGTGTCGGGAGTCCAGTTGGCTGTACCAAAATTACAATTAGGCTCTACTGGTGGTTCTCCTACGATGAGGATACGCTTTCGCAGAAGAGCAGCTCGATATAGGGGAAATATGAGAGGTCCCACGTCGTTGATGAGTCTAGGTAGCGAGATAGCAGGATGATGTGGTGAAAGTGTCTGACGCGAGGTCATCATTGCCGTGGCATCACTGATAGCACGAGGCCGACGGTATCCATTCAGCCGAGGACTGCTTTTCGAAGAAGGTTTCGGTATAAGTGTAGGTGATTCATCTACCGTCTCTTCCACGTTATGTCCTTCTTGGAGCCTGTTTTCCCCCCAGTACTCCTCCAGCATATGCAGGCGGTCGACATTTGAGATGTGCTCACTGCAGTCGTGATATCGGTTAGAATCAAGCTCCCGGTCCTTATGGATTACTTACTTTGCCAGTTTTTGAAGCCCCTCAGCATGCCGCCAACTCTTTCCAAGTCTTCCATAGGTCAAGGGCACCAATGCGCCGACAGCCAGCATCTCCGCATTTCGTTGAGATTTGTCCCCAGGCACATTGACGAAGGCGCTTATACCGGCACAGCTATTGTGAATAAAGTATCTGATCCACTGCTTCAGTGCTGAGTCGCACAGGACCCTGGTCAGGGGCTCTCACACCAAATCTTCCTTGACATTGTGTAGGCCGGAGGGCAAGGATTTGAAGTCCACGACACCTTCGAGTTGGACTATTCTAGATCAATGGAACCGCCGTTAATCAAACACGAAGTCTGCTTACCATCGGGTATCGATCTGCTCCAGACCAGTTTGTACCTGTCCTCGATGAGACCGCGCGTGATGAACCAAGGGAAATCCAAGTCTTCATACCCTTGACGTGGATCGAATTTGACCACGAATAAGGCGGCGATCGAGGGCAGGACCCCATCACGACCCTGCCCCTGCCCTTGCCTGGATCTGGATCTGGATCTGGATTTGGATGTGTGTCTTGAGTGTGCCATGATCCTGTGGCGCAGATTGGTGACTGGAGCTCTATGCAGAAGCTCTCCTCTGCTTAAGCAGGCCCCGGTAACTCCTCGGGTAGATACTCTTGGCATACACTCATATTCCTTATTGGGCATCCCAGATACCTCCTACGATACTTTTATCCATCAAACTGGTTTTCGGGCCCCGAAACCCATGCTATCCTGTGCTACCCCGAAAAAGGCCTTTCCGCCCGAAGCTTGGCGCCGAAATTTATGGCACTAGGGTTGAGATCAGGCGAATTAGCAGGGTTCATCTCCCATTTGATCCCTAGAAGGTCCTTGAGTGCTTTAACCTTGTTAGGACCCTTGCCCTTGGTACCATGAGGCCCGTCATTATCTTCGATTAGTACGTAATCTTTATCCCAATCAGGAGCGACGATTTCTTTCAAAATAGCCATATAATCGCTCTGAATAAGACGTCCTCCTACTCCGGAGCCGGTGTAGAAGTGGGGCTGACCCTTGAAATTCCATCCAATAACTGCGTACACATGGACTGACTGATTTTGACGCTTGAGCTTAAACTGAGTCTTTGATAAGGCATTTCGTGCTTCAAGCCCTGGTCGACGATGAATTCGAGCCTGTCTTTGTAAGCAAGTAGCAAAATGAGACTCATCACACCATCTATACTTCAGAAACTGATCCAATTACCAATATCGACGCTCAAATCCCTATATAATTCGGACGTTAATATGTGATTGTAAGAGCATTTTTTTCTGCGCGGCTATATAGGTCTTTACACTAAAATCCTTCATATTCTGTTGAATTGCACGTTCGCAGCCATTAGTTATACTAATTGTCCTTGCCATCTTCAAATGACTTGACGAAGCAAAGCCAAAATTAGCATCTTCAACGGCCTCAATTGCTTCGCACTCATGTGGAGCAAGTACTCGTTTTCGGCCTCGATTGTGTATCCTCTTACTGCGGCGCGCAGTTGCTTCTTTAATGATTCGATAGCCAGTTGATTTAGGTACATTATGTATCTTAAATAGCTCTGTACGAGGTATTTTGCCAGCTGTGTGGCGTGCATCAGCAAGGAGGCGCGCACGGCGTGGCGTATCGAGCATCGTTTTTGGCGTTCGCAATGGTGCAGGAGAAGGAGGATCTATCGAATAAGACTTTCGGCAGACGCGTCGTCTATTTCCCCGTTCAGAATCCATTGTTCACTAGATTTGAGTGAGTATTGGTAGAGAAATAGGGGAATGAAGAAGGGGGGGAGAGGAAGGGGATCTGAGAAGTCCCATAAATTTCTGCGCCAAGCTTCGGCCCTCCTTCTCCCTCCCTCCCATAACTACAAACAATGGTATAACTTAGGTATGAAACAAATCTGCTTACGAGCAAGCTTGAGGCAAGCTACCTGTCGTACGAAGACCTTAGGCAGCTCATTAAGCCCAGACGTTCTTGATGAAGACGGATGGGTCTGAAATCCTGGAGTCACATTGGCGGGTAGTTTTCGCTTACTTGCAGGAAGAGGCCCTCCAAAATTACCATCAATGTGTGCTTAATTAAAGCCTTACCGTGATATGATCTACTTTGCATAAAAGTATACAGTTAGACATCTAATATTCAACGAAATTATGTTGTTTTGGAAGTCTTTTTTATTCCGGCTCCCCCGGGGCCAGCCATCATTGTAACAACGCTTCCTTCGCTTCGGCTCCGGGGGCAGTCATCCATTATGCCAAGTCATTGCCTCAGCATTGTCTCCGTACACTGAACAGGTGAACGGGTGAGGATCACCGCGATGACAGCCTCCTTCACGATTGATAAAATCCGTTTGTCAACAGACTCTGGGAGAAACCTGTTGTTGTTATGAGACTTTCCTATTAACACGTGACCGCAGAATGATATATTCAACGACACCTTGCTGCCAGTGAGTACCTTGACGTACATTCTGCACTCGTGCAGATGATAAGATCCAGTCTGTGCTGCTAAGTGCATGGTTGCGAACCCTCCGACGCCGAGAAGCATCTTGAAGCGATTTGCATTATACGAGACCTTTGTGAACGCCTGGAGCGCCCAGATCCGGTTCCGATCCCTTTATAAAAACGTAATGACTTTTGAATCAGGGTGCCCGAGGAAGCTCATTATGTCGCCTTATCCGTCTCTGGCCATGAATTGGGTGTGCCGGTTCTCTTATGCTGACCACGCGCTGTTGACTCCGATACTAGACTAGATAGACATTCAGAGAGTGGGCAATCATCCGACTCGCGGGTTTTTCTTGACGAGTGGTATTTTAGAAGTATTGTTGGCGCTGTCAGAAGGGCTGTAGACAGATCATTGAGCATTTACCATAAACTTACATAGCTTGAGTTGAGATCAGACCCTTTCTGACTCCGGTGGAAGATATCAGCCGCGTCCCTTAAAATACGCTTCTGAGAAGATGCCGAACAATCTCATGTATGTATTTTTTGTCAGTCCTGGGAGAACACTGTCAAGCGGCGTTGTATCTGCTTCCCAGACTTCGGCAAGGTGGCAGTAAAAGCTGTCGTCAACGTACTCTGTCGCGCACGGTTAAAACCCCTTCGATCGGAGCCCACGACCAAGATAGCGTGCAGTATCCGAACTTCTCGGTAACATGACTGTCCGGCCTCCCAGCAGAGGGCGTCTGATACAGGACCCTTCCAAAAACCTGCTATATGCTGCAGTTCTAAGAACTTGGTTCGCTGAAATTCATTGGCCATGCCTGATGGAAAGGGTCACCGCATCTGGCACTGACCCGAGCGAAACTTTTTCGAGCCCCAGGACGAGTCCTGCTCGTACTAACTAGTATTGAATTGCTTGTTTCCCCGGGTAAGAATTCTGCAAGTGCGATTCGCTAATTCCCCTGATCCCCTGATGTCTTGGTCTGAACATGAGGTCGTGGCTTGTGCTGAACCGAATACGAGTTGACCATCAATGAGCACTGCATCTCACCGGTTCCTTAGATGCAAATTTCGTTTTCTAGAGCCTTTACGTATCTCGTCTGTCGACTGCGTCTCTAAAGCGTGCAGTCACATCAATCGCAATGGAACGCTCCATACAGAAATACGCGCAGCTCCCTTCTTGCATCTATCTCCATAGCTTCGTACAACTTCCTTGCCTCCCACGTTGATCTATCTTCCTTCTACTATGCACAGACTCCTAATCCAGCGCTTTGGCCTCATCCTCTCTCTGCTCCTCCTCACTACCAGCATCTCCGCTCAACGCCCCGGTCCGGTACACCCACCGCTCTGCCCCTACTACAGCGAACTAGCTGGCCGCGGCCGCGTTTTCCTGCGATGCTGGTACGACCATAGCGGGGTGCAAAGCAACGGTGGCTACCTCGCTTTCACCAAATCTCACATGTGGGACAATCTCACCGTGACGGACCTCACGGATAATTATCCCGCACCGGAAGGGAACGGGAAGAAACTTCCCCCGTTCGGCGAATACGCCAAATCTCGGGTCCAATTCTCGAATGTGCATGAGAACTACGTCCCGAAGTTCACTGAGATTTTCAAATATACCTTGGATGGTAACCTGCCATCGTTTGGGTACCGGGACGAGACGGATTGTTTGACATATCACTGGGAGTCGTCTTATTTGGGTACATTGTTGAAACCCTATGGGTTAGTGTTTTCCTCTTTCTCAGGCCCAATGCCACCGAATCCCGATCCAATTTTTCTTCTGTCATATCGTTACTGACCAATTATCCCCAACAGCGGCAAGCCAGCGGGCGCAAAGGTATCGTGGAAACACACCCACTCCTTCAAGACCCACCATGCTCTGCCAAACGAGGACGACGGGACGGGCTATCTCATCCAGAACGCCACCATCAAGATGGACTGGTCGAGCTGGTGTACGTCCTGATTCATGAACTGATCTATGCACAAGCGAGCTAGCTACCTATGCGAGAAGACGCAAAGATAGTACTGGAATCTGATATATATAGTGCAACCACGTGCTTTTCTCAATTCCTTCAACCTCTTTCATCACTTCTATTTTCTGTGTGGCGAGTCTCAGCAATAACGCCTAACCAAGATGGCGTGTAGGGGGGTGGATGGCTGTGAGAAAACCACTTCCCACAGCTACACTTAAGTCAGATCTACCTGTGGTGACACCCCACCAGTATCCCACAGCAATGGATAACAACTGGGCTATCAAAGTCATGATAGAGGCTCGTCCTTCATTCAGCTCGCGCCAGATCAGCAGTACTCCTTGCAATGAAGAGATCCCAAGATGGCCATCGCGTCAATTCCCGCGTGCCATCTACCAAGACGACGAGATATAAATAGCTTTGTTAGCCAGATTAAATTTGCGCAAGTCAATTTGACTTGTTATGATTTGTGAACCACATACATTGCTGGAGTTCAATAACTAGTAGTGAGCCAATATGTCTGCGCAGAGAAAAACGTGAGAAATGTAAAAACCGGCGTCATCGCGGGGGTATCTTCGCCTTCTGCCTATCATATCTTTGCTCGTGAGCCTCCGTCAAGGTGTCAGCGCCTAGCCAGCTTTGCTATTCTCCAAGTTCTTCGAGAACTTATCTGCCGTCTCGAGACCCTCGGCAAGCACATCCTTGACCGCTTCGGCGCTGTCCAAGATCTCCAAATCGTCTTTCTCTACGTCGTCTTCGTCGTTCTTGACGTTCTTGTCGTCTTTGTCGTTCTTGTCGTCCCTGTCTTCCCTGTCTGCCCTGTCTGCCCTGTCTTCCCTGTCTTCCCTGTCTTCCCTGTCGTACCTGTCATACCTATCGTACCTATCGTACCTGTCGTACCTGTCGTGCCTGTCGTACCTGTCTTCCTTGTCGTCCTCCATCCTGGAGCCTTGGTCCTTATCGTCCTCCATCCTTGAGCCTTGGTCCTTGTCGTCCCCCGTCTTTGGCTGTCCGTCCTTGCTTTTGCCTGAGCGGGAATCCTCGCCGGAGCTTTCTCTCCCATCCACATTCTGCTTCGACTCATTCGAATCTGCTGGTCCCTTCCCTTCATCACCGCTTCCCTGCTTGCCCGTGCTACTCCGTGTCTTGTCCTCAGCCAAAGACGCCTTTGTGCCATTCTCGTCTTGCGTACTCCCCGGCTCCTCATCTAGAGCCTGCTTAAGTTCTCGCCTCACCTCTTTCACAGCATCTTTACCAGATTCTTCGAGTAGGTGACGTTTCGATGACATTTGTCCTCTGTGTTCCTCTTCCCTTTTAATGTACGAACGAATAAAAAAGCGTACGAACATGGCTGTGAGCGGGAGGAGGTAGAAGCAGTTGAGCAAGATAGCGAAGACCTGTCCGCTGGTATCGATGCAGTGAATCATCCGCAATTCGTCCCGGTAGCGAATCTCCTCACGAGCCTTGAGATCTTTGGCGGCATGTAGCGCATCGATTCCAAAGGGTTTGCCTTGCTCGTTGCGCACGTTCTCGGCTAATCCTTCCTCGCCGGCAGCTCGGAATGCGAGTTTCTTCAACCATGATCCAAGGCCTGCTGATGCGGATGCTGTTGCTACTGAAGCAGCACTTGAAATATCAGATGATATGGCTGAAGTAAGGTCTGCGAGGGAATATACGTATGGCACGGACGTGGGGATGGTGTAAGAGACGAACAGATGCGCAAGAGCAAAGGTCGTGCCCACAACGAATTGAGCAATCTGCATTGTCGTGATGGTCTGCTTGACACCCTTTGGCACTCGTACACCAAGTGCTGTCGCGGTATAGTAAGCGTACTGGCTTGCTGTCAGCGAAGACTCTGAACATAGCATTCAGAGCCTGACTTACCATCCAGACATGAATGAAAGAGTTCGTTAGGACAAAGAGCCAAATCGGGGGAGCCATGTATCGAATACCAGCCCACATGGACATCATTGCTCCAGCATGGTGGTACGTCTGTAGAAAAGAGCTTTTCCTGCCCTTGGCCAAAATGATCAAGGTATCAAAAATCTCGTAGAACTTCGAAAGATAGAAGAGCCATCCGTAAAAGGCTAGTCCTTCATTCCAGATCCTTCCAATATCCGTCGTATCAGGGAGATTGTCAGCTGCGAGCTTGAGGGCTCTGTTTGTAAACCCCCATGCGCCTGTTGAGGCATTGAAGGTCACTGCGTCACCTAAACCCCTGGGACCGTTGATTTTGCAGAGAACATCTACGGCACCGACCCAGCCATGCTCTGTAGTGGCACCATCGAACGAAACTCGGACTGCATTTGCCAAACCAATGAAAGTCCAGGCTGAAAAGAGAGCAAGAAAAACATTGTGCGCTATGACGAAGGCGCGAAAAGCTCTTGTCTGGCTGATAGCCCATGGCTTGTGCTCGCGCCTTGTATTGGCATAATTCAAAATAGTGACGATTGTCGTGTAAGCCAAAGCAACAGTAATCGGAAGCTCTGCTGAGAGCAGTGTGTTGTAGACATGGGGAGGAATCGCAAAGGGATGCGCGAGAGTTGCTTCTCCCGATGGAGGCGGTAGAGTTGAAGGTAGAGATTCTGGAGGAAATCGAAGGAGAGAGGTCGGCACCGGTGTGATACGAACCGACGGCGAGGTGTATACCCTGGAGATTGCCATAGTGAAAGACGGCAGAGGTGGCACGGACACTAAATTAGAGAGGAGAAACGCGCTCTCACGCGTACCAAAGCAAAATCTAACAGAAATGGGCAGAAGGCCAGGAGGGTTGGGGGCTCGAGATAGATGTGGGAAGTGAGAAGTGCGAAGTGCGAAGTGCGCAGGCTGCGAATGAAGGTGTGGGCTGGCGGTTCAAAGCAGGAAATCTTTCATAATTTGGCAATTCTATCGTCACCCCCAGCCTGCCAGCCCACTCCTCAATGAGCTCACACGAGCCTTGCGCCTTGGCGCCCCATCCGCCATCGTCATCGTCATTCTTCAGCCACGCTTTCAGGGGGCTGAAATGGCATACCACGTCAATCTGATACAGTACGGAGTCCTCTGTACAGTGGCTACCACTGTAACTACTACGTATTGACGGAAAGCCGGTGGAAATTCCAGACTAAGACGAGACTATCGACCAGCTCTCTCTGCGCAATCATCCTCACCACGGAACAGCGGGTAAGTTGTTTTGGGCATTTGCATGGCCGGCGAGGAGTTACAACACTCAATGCCGCACGATTTTCTGAACAATCCTGTAATTCGGCAAGATCTAATTACGCTGAACTTCACCCAAGAATTCCGAGCGATTTTCACTAAACTTACTCCAGACCTGCACTTCAAAGCGGGTGGCTCTGCTACCTAACCACTTCAACCCAGTCTCAGCCATTGAACTAACGTAGAGCTGCTGCTAATGGTCTCTCGAGATGGAGCTCCCTAGCTGCTCCTCGCAGGCCTGGGCACAGGTGCTGCTGTAGCCGGCGATGCAGTTACCGCCGTCGGAAAGACATCCTCTGTTATGAATGGACGACCAACAGGAGGTAAGGGCTGCCCATCATGAATGCGCTGCAGAGCGGCTCTGAGTCGCTCGGCGTACAGATACTTAGATGCTGCCGCATATTTCCTTTCCCATCGAAGGACTAGAATCAAAAAGTCGCGATTTTCTTTGACCCCACGCTCAAACAGGTCCATCTCGATCTGCATCGCTGTATTTTCGGCTACGCCGCGGATGGTGCGATTCTTTATCGGTGGGGCTGCTGTTATAGGTCAGGTCTTGTATTTGAGATCTGTGCAGGGAACGTAGACCTTAGACGCACCGGGTAAACCATTCTGGGTCGAAGAACCGCTCATGTCTCTGACGGTCAGCAATGCTTTTAATGGGATCAGATGCAGGAGTGCTATGTGCTAAGAAGATGAAAAACGCGAAATGATCAGAGTGCATGTGTTGAAGGATATCCGCCATACATCTGCATAGCATCCCCATACTGATAACTCTGCACAGAGACAGTGAGCATTTAGTATAGTTTCACATTTGACCCTTGAAGTGTTCGAGCCAGATGTACCGTAGTATTGCCTCCTAGTATCGCATGATCAAGGGCCAATTTTCATGGTGGGACAAGATCAGAAATGCACCATTATACTACCTAACCACGACACAGGCCATGTTTCATCGCCGCTAACACCACTACCTGCAGAGATATACCAGCATGATCAAGCAACGCAGCGAACTTGGGATCCCTTCCCTCAGGGGCCCAGGCTGTATGACGTCATGGATTTGTCGCAGCGAAAGGGTTTTCATGATAATCACATTGATCTTGGGATCGGTTCCGAGATCCGCGGTGTGCTGTGAACACGGACGGTAAACCCCCATCTCAGTGCTCGAGACATAAGAAGATGTACTTCTAGTCGAAACTCGCATTACGGTGCTAATGAACCAAGGTAATCTCCTCAGGTTTCCAGCCCTTAATACATTCATTAAATTTGCAAGGCCACCTCATCCCTACCGGCTGGGACATGTGTTCCATGAAAGCCAAACCCCACAACTCCATCAACGCTTGCCCTGCCTACCTCTTTCATGGTCTTAGCATCCAACACCAGCAGGTAACTCTTCCCTTCTACTCCGTCCAGAACCACACTCAGCAGTACACCACCATCTTCGTCCTCCGACTCGGGATCAGCCACAAATATTGGCTCTCCGGCCGTCTGACCATGGTAGCTCCATCGAATGTCCTTGTGTGTTTCGATGTCATATTTGACCAGGCCGTCGAAGAAGGTGGATTTGCCAGTATCGATCATGCCGTATATGTAGCGATATTTTCGCATTAGTCTTCTGGGATTAATGGCCGGGAGTTCGACGTAGAAATCCCGTGCTTTTACAAATACCGTGTCAGCCTTGAAACGTTGATCAATGGGCTTGGAAGGAACGTCTGGGAGTCGAAATCGCCGTATCGAAGCGCCACAACGCGCAAATGCACCATCGCTGAAGCCCTTTGCGGTAGGTGAGTCGGATACTATGTTGTCGAGATAGAAACGTTTGATGCAATCGTGATTATCATAGCAGATGATGTCAGCGATGATGTCTACCTGGTTGGCCTGACTTCCCGCCTCCTCATAAGCATTAATCGTGTGGAACGCGAAGAAAGGGTCTGAATCGTATGTTGCTATCAGACCTTTGCCTCCTGCTTCTACAGGCTGGCGGTCAACAACATACCACGTTGCAGGGCGCGTACCGTCATATTCAGCGAGGGCATCAACGATGTTCATGTGGTAGAATATTGGAGCACCGCCTAGCGAGAAGAAGGCATTCCAGACACATATGATGACGTAGTGCTCAGTCAAAAAGAGAGAATGGAGGTATGATGCATCGGCCGAGAAAGTGGCAAGGATGGAGGTTTGGCCTGTTGACGCAGAGACGGTGAAGACACGGTATTTGCCTGTACGTCCATATTCTAGATTATAATTGTATACATCGCCTGTGACGGGGTCGCTTTTGGCGTGAGTTGCGCTCGATGGGCCTTTCAACGACGGGTGAAGCGATTTTTGCTGGGCTAGTCCGATGGGTTCCAGCGTCTGCGGATCTAGCATTTGAAAGGAGGAAATGTCGGTCTTGTTGCACAAGCTGACGATTTTGTCCCTCTCAGGGGCTTCATTCAGACGATCACCATTTGTATTCAAGCCAGGGAAATTCGCTGACAGGGTGACGGACATGTTAAGCGAGTCTGCTCCCCTAGGCTTAGGTGCCGGCCTGAAGAAGCTTTGCAGCTTCTGGAAGTAGGATGTGCACAGGTCATATTTGGCACCAAAGGTGAAACCTTCGTCTTTACCTGCTCGTTTAATCCGTTCTAGCACCGCATCACAAGAAGATCTCGAATTGTATGTCACTCGAACAGAAGGTTCGCCGGGAGCTGGGGCATGGATCTGGAATCGGTGAACTTGCGCAAAGCCATCAAACCAGTGGTTGACTCGAAACGTGGTCCCAGCATCTGTTTGGAGTTTCCGAGGGCCAAGGCCTGTGCGGAAAAGCGTGCCAGTAGCATATGCCGGTATATTGCCACTGACTGACAACTCGACAGGAGATCGTTCCTCATATCGGACGTCGAACTACAGACGAGTAAGCTTCTCGGCAACCCTACCGAATATAGCAGGAGACATACACCCTGAGCATTTGGCCAATCATTGTAATGGATGACCTCCTCATCCAAAGAACCCATTGCTGGATCCCTTATCCCAAGGTCTGATGAAATATTACACTGTGCACAACGAGAAACGAAGAGGAAGGAAGGGTATCTTGTAAGAAAGAGATGAGGGTATGGCCCTGAGAATGCCCAAACAATGGATAAATCAACAATAAAAATCTACTGCGATGTGAGATATATCATAGAACTGACTCTGATATTGAAATTCAGACTTCCAGCGCCCCATCTCGCTTGTTGTGAAGTAGCCCGCGGCGTAACTAGTTTGCACTGTTCCGTAAATTTGGTCTGGGCCAACTCAGGGAGAACGCCTGAGTCTGGCTATCTCTTAATGACTTAACGTCTCCACAAATGGTAGCACAGCCCGGCTCAACCCTGGCGTTGGCGACGGAACAAGAACGGAGTGTTTGCACAGCCTGCGGAAGGATGACAAAGATAACTAGGCTGGAATAGGTTCATCTTGCCCCCCATAGCAACTTGAAGGATGGGTCACATAATTTACGTACGTGGTCCTCTGAGGGCCGAGGTCCTTTTGGTCCAACATAATATGGTATTGGGCATATCATGATGTGATGTTGGTGGGGCACTAGAAAGTTTCGTTCTCCGCTAGAAACGGTATCCTCAAGCATACGAAATCTGCTCGATCGAGAGGCGTATCAGAGGGTAATGTGCTGGCCGGATTGGCACCCCACTGACATTACTTACGAACCCATACTCTGTACTAGTACCATACTTAGTACTAACCAAGTTAGTGATCTTTCACCCAAACACCTCGGCAGTATTCCATGCTGAACTTTCAGCAGCCAACCAATCAGAATCTTTTACATACCTGTACGTCACCCTCTTGAATTTCTATTCATAACATGTGTTGGGACACATTGCGCCGCTGATCACAGAATTCTCTATCCTGTAAGGCTTCCGCCTTGACTGGCTGCAAGGCAATCATGCCTGATCCGAAGGACGTCGATGCTGCCATGGAGGATGATTACGACGAAGAAGCTGACAGTGATTTCGACGTCGAGAATGCATGCAGTGAGATCAGCTCCTCATCATCTGAAGAAGACGACAAGCAAGCTCCTACAGTTAGACGAAGTCGAGGGAGACTACAGCGACAAAGGGAGAGGAAAGAAGGTTCACGGCCAGAGCCGCTTGGATTGGACTCTGGAGACGAAGCTACAATACGTGAGCGAGATCGAACGAAGAGAAAGCAGAAGCAGAAAGGTGAGGATGACCAAGACGAAAACAGTGATGGAGAGGAGCAAGGCTGGAGAGCTAGGACTCGCGCGATGCGGGAAAAGGACCAGCTCGAGAAGAGGAAATCTAAGCTGGCAAGCGTAAAGGGAAGCACTATCGACGTGGACCAACTGTGGGAAGCTATGAACAAGCCCGGGGGGCTAGATGGCCTCCCCCAACCAGCAGCACCAGCAGCCCCTGTCTTGGACAGTGATTCAGGTCTCCTTGTAGAGCAGAAAGAGAACATTCAATCGTCTCATGCGCAGTCCGCAGGACCTCCCAGTGGTATAGCATGTCAAAATCGAATGTCGCAGGACGGACTCAACGAAATGGTCACTATTGACGAGACCTATGAGTTTGCTGGAGAAGTCCATAAACGCAAGAAGACAGTTCCTAGATCATCGGCTGAGGCAACGCAGTGGCTGGCTCAAAGGTTGGTCCAGAACATGGACCCTAGGTTTCCCGGTAATGAGCCCGTCCGAAGACCGCTCCGCAAGATCTCGCGTTTCGATCCTAACCTCAACAATATGGATTTGTTCAAGAAGAGTTGGGCAAGGTCTCTGGCGGATGGGAAAGAGACTAAAATACAGAAGCTCAATACTGTGGAGAAGAGTAAGATGGACTGGGCGGCTCATGTTGATCAAGAAGGCCTGCAGGACGAGTTAGCCGAACATGCCAAAGCTAAGGGTGGCTACTTGGGCAGAATGGATTTCCTTGGACAGGTTGAGCAGAGAAAGGAGGAAGAAGCGCGGAGGATGCGGGTGAAAGGCTGACGGGCTTGAAGTCTGCCTATTTTCATGTATCTCTCGCATGGCTATTTCCATCTTTGCCATACCGCACGAACCTTGATGCTTCTCCTGCGCATGGTTGCTGACTCGTCTCGGGGGAGTGACAAGCGTTCGTGCTCTTGCAGTTTATGGTCGCTCCTTCCTCTTGAAACCGTGCCGAAGTGAAGGTAATTCAAGCCTGCAATTTCGGTCATACTTCGCAATTCTCACCCAAAAAATAATGGAATCGAGCTCTTCGACTCGGAAGCCAACTCCTCTTGGTTACTGGTCATCTTCTGATGATCGTCTAAGAAGCAGCCCGAAACAGATCCTCCAGGTTCGAGGATCAAGAAGTGTCCGCTTCATTTCACGTGGCAAGACTTCCCTTTTCTAGCTATGGAGAACACGACACCGCTAAAGGCTCAAATTGTTCATGATGATGGTGCACCAAATTCTCATGTCAGCACGCCGAGCCCTGACTTGATGATGGCAGACAGCGCACAATATTCGATGGATGACATCGCTGATAGCCCTCGTCCTCGAATGCATCTCTCTACTCCTAAACATAACTTTGAGCTTCTTGCTTCAAGGACAGTCTCCCAGGCAATCTCAGAACAAACACGCCCTTCCAAGCTACCTGCATCACCGCTTGACTCTATCAACCCTAGCCTCTACCCTCGTTTTCCTCGGTTCTCCATCACAACAGAAAGTAGCCATCCAGACCTTTCCACTGATGAAGTTACTTCCACCAGGATTTCAGCGGATGAAGAAGGAATTGTGGCTGCACAGAGATCACCGAATACAAGCAACACCAGATCAAGCAAAAGACAAAAACTACAGACGACACTGCACAGAGCCATGTCGACTCCTACTATTGGTCTCAGGCGTTTGGGTAATCGGATCAAGCGGGCTCCCAGCACACTACTCCCCAGAAGAAGCTCGAAAGAGTCACCAAGGACAGCCTCTGAAAATCAAGCAGAGGTATGCCAGTAGATTCACCAAAGTGCTTGGCATGGGATTTGCTAAACGTTCAGGACACGGAGGAAGCAGTCACGAGTGATGACACCAGCCAGTCTCGTTTGTCGCTATCATCTCAGGCAGTACTTCGAAGGGTACCTCGCCCCTGACCACATCACGTGCTTCAGCCTGACTCGATCCATAGCTAGATATGGATACCCAACCATTTTCTGCCGTTTCAACGGTTCCTCTCTCTCCTTTGAAAGCTGATTATCGACCACCCTATAAGGTAGTCTCATCAGTCCGCCCACTACGCATTTCCTAAGTCTTCTCAGGTGTCAGGTTTGCCAGAATATCAGGCTTCTGATAGTGAGACTGCAGTATCTCATGGCCAACGTCGTTCTCTGGAATCAGCAGGCGCGGTAAGCAACCGAGAATGTTCGGTTAGCAAACAATGACCATGTATCAGCCGAGTTCGAGTACACAATTACCAGAAGTTGACCGCTTGAGGTATCCCATTCGTCGTCCAATTCCAACAATGAAGTCCTACAACTTGGCGAGAAAGCATACCCCTCAAAGAATACCCACGTTCTTGGGCAGAGCATCAAGCTGGTCGAATACGCTGGGTTCTGGTGTTTCTAGCTCGATCTCCCTTGGTAGCATTGATGAACTCCGAAGCAACTCCTTCGTCTCAACTCAGCAGCGCGTCTTCAGCGTGCCTACTATTCCATCTCGACGATCATCTCTGCCGGTTTCACCTTGCTTGACACCAAAACGGTCTCCACGAACGCTCAGCGTCTGCAATGTTGAGGACATGATCAACCTGAGTCAGCTGCGGGATGTTCCAATGTTTGTGGACATCCAGAAGGGACATGATGTTGATTTCATCTTCCCTTCTTCATCGAGTATGGACACGCCCTCAATCTCTTCACGAAGGCCGTCCATAGGTTCCAAAGCGTATTCCTATCGTGCTCTACGAGAGAAAGAGTCAAAAACACCACTACTTGTGCGGTCGTCAAGCATCAAGAACGGATATGCGGAGTTTCGTGGCAACGAAAAAATCCCGCTGTTTGTTCCTTCCCGAATCATAAAGCCAGCTGCTGGCACGCTTATGATCCCAGAACGCCAAAGCTCTCGGTCATCTCCTGATACGAGACTCGGGGTTGAAGATGCGGCACAGGATAGTCACTCTGATCGACAAGAGAATCATTCCAAGGAAGCACTCTCCGAAGCATCTGATTGGTCCACTACTGTACAGTTTGAAGCACCTAAACAGGAGATGTTCCGAGCAAAACCAGAAAGTATGTTACCAGATCCGTGCTTGGACATCAAGCAGGGGTTTGGCCTTGAGCGTGGCACATCATCAGCGAATCGCAATGAAATACACGATAATGTCAGACCCTTAGGTCCATATGAGGCCAAGGACACAGCAGCGGGTTTCACAGGTACGAAAGAGGGCACCCAACATGGACTGGGGGCATTCCAAAGATGTTTTGTATATTATCAACGTGTCAAACAGCAGCTATGGAAAAGCCCCTTTGCTAATGCTGGCTAATTATGAGAGAATCTGTATGGACTTGGCCCTGTAGACTTCTCAATAGTTAGACAAGACATTGAAACGCGAAAAGCTAGTGGTAATTCGAGGACGAAAATGCTACTGCAGTACGCGGGAAGTTATGCAGACTTCGGCGAGCAAGCTACGAAACTTGATCTAACATGCCTATTACTATTAGACCGAGTCCGAGTGCAAGAAGTCATGGCCCACTACACTGAAAGCCAAGTAAGCACTGTTTACGTACTATAGTACAGCCAACATCTACATAGCCAGACACACTTGTATTTTTCGAGGCAGCTTTTCTGCCTTCGAATACTGCTCATATTTCGTACCATTTACGTGTTATATGCGGCTGTGCATTGCCCACATCTCAGTGTTTGATATCTAACTTGGTGGTTATCGGAAACTTGAGATGAGACGAGATGTGCTCTGAAGTTGGCCGTCAACTTTTACTCTAACACAAAGCCCCAGACCCTAAACTGAACACGCCAAGGAATTTCTGACGCGACGCATCAATGCTTGGCGTTCACTAATGAACTGTTCAATATCAATTCCAACCCGAACATTACTTACCATTCCTTTCTACCACCAAAATAGAAGCTGTGACCATATGGACGAAGATACATCTTCTGTGGGCTGGAATTAGCTTTCCGGGCGAAAGAATACGACTCTTTCTGAGTTATTGCGATATAGATCTCTCTCACCGCCGCTACCCTTTTCCGCCATTTGATTCTCCCACAAGCTGAGTCCTATACGTGAACCCCACCGACTTACGTTCCAATCAGTATATCGTCATTTGAGCTCATAGCAACTGAGAGCTGTGTTCTCAATCTGTTCATATAACGAGTGCATACACGAGCCATGACCTCCACAAACGAACCGAGATTTTCCTGGTTCTCGTGCCCTGAGTGGCCTTGAGAACCACATGTACATTATCATAGACTTTTCTCACTTTTATGAATTGGTGAGTCTTGCTTTTCAGACCATCAAACATGGAGTCAATCCCTTTGCTTCTAAACAATGCTCTCAACCCGCTCATGCTTCCTCCTGTCATCATTGCGATCAAGATTACTGGCTTATTTGCTTCTGATGGGCCACCCTGACTCGGTGAAGGGGCCCCGATAATCAACATCATACACCCCACTCTTTGGATCTAGTGTCGCGATGTACCTGTTTCGTGCGGCGGGTGAGTTCTTGCCGTGAGTTTTGTGGAGATGGCTGTTCAGATTGTCCGTTCGGCTGAATGGCTTCGTGGTGCAACCAGGTACCCAACAATAATGCGGTCTGATCCCAGTGTGACACGTGCGTTGATGACGTTTCAAATGTTCCTGTCTCTTGAACTTCTTTCGTTTGCCATTTTTGTCGACGCAGTCTTCTGCAGTACAGGGCCATTGATTCTCCGGAATATACTCAGGGTATTCCATACCTTCCCGGCTCATACGTGGCTTTGAGGGACGTCCAGAGCGGCCGCTCTGTTTCCTTTCGGCTGTTCTACGACTCGATCGACCTGATCCTTTACATTTCGACTGTCTCAAGTTCCTCACCAGAGTCGGCTGGACGATGGAACAATTCGAATCTTCATGAATGGAAACAAGCTGTTTGGATGATGAGCAGATTGGGGATGATGAGTACGGAGTGCTGGCTGTCCCGGATGCTATAGGAGTCTCATACTTGTTTTGGATTGGCGTCGACGGAGTAAGATGATAGGCAGGCGAGGAAGGCACTATAGGCTGGAATGTAGCGCTAGGAGCTACCGTTCGCGGCGGGGTTTGCAGCATTGAAGGTCGCCACTGGGTCATGTGTTCTGCCACAAGAGTATCTGAGGGCTGTCGACTGTGGAAAATCGACCGTGACAATGATGATTCCAGAGCGGCTCCAGCAACAAGAGTTTGATTTGTCGATAAGAAGACTTCGGGATGTTGCTGCTTGACCGAATACTGCTGCGGCGTATTGAATGCTGCGGATTGGCCTGGTAAGCGCTGCTTGGATTCTGACGCGTTCCAGTGAAAGCTTCCTTCCTCAGGCGCAGGGTCGCTGTACTGGAACATCCGATAGATGCTTAGATCCGCGGTTGTGCAACCCATTGAAGCCCCGCTGGTCATCATCATATCCATTATATCGGATGAATAAGGCGTCATGGGGCTGAGGCTATTGCGCAGTGAATCTCCTTGAGACGAAAGCAGCAAAGACGTTTCTGAAGTCGGAATAGACGGTCGATGATCGCATTTGAAGTCGATCGGAGATGATGGCGCGTATGGAGCAAATTTCGGATCCAGTGATGAACACGTGGATGTTGTTGAGAATATCGGAAAAAGATTGACATCGGTATCAAGTTGTAGTTCGATGCTCAACTGATTCATGCCATCCAAATCGGGAAGTGCCATATTCATCTCTTGTGATGCTTCAAAAGAGAGGGGACCTGACGAATACAAAGTGAGCAGATTGGTTACTGGGTGCTAGTGAGAACAGAGTAGTTCCTTGTGCAAAGGAGCAAGTTGTATGAAGAAATGGATTCGGTGGTACGGGCAGCGCCAAATCCTCCGGGTCGGCACGAGAAATGTAGGTTGGAAAGAGACGGACAACTTGATATAACAGACCAACAATGGAGTACTGCTGGAAAAAGTGCTTACCTAGGTAAGGCATAGTGCTCCCGTCGCGTCAAGCGCTATGAAAAGCAAGGTCTCAGGAATGTGTCTGCTCGGGCAGATCGCGGCGCTCAGCAGTTCCTCTTCGGATCTTGCTAGGTCAAAGGTGTGCCTGCTCCTCTTCTCTGTTGGCCGGAAGGGTACAAGAGGCCTGCAAATTTAACCCAGCCAGTTTGTTACGCAGAAAGAGAAGATTGGGATCTGGAAGTCTGAATCACCGGCAAGGGAGGTTTCAATGTTGGTGGATAGGTTGCTACAGAGCAGCAATGTTTGTACCTTCTCGGGGTATGGTGTTCTTGGCTCAGCCGATCTGGAATTGAGTTTGCCTATAACCATCAGGCAGTCTGATATCGTCACTTCTGCCTGGGCCACTTGCTGGGCATATTCCGAGATGTGACTCTCACTGAGCGCGGTATCTATTGAGCAGGCTGAACAAGCCTTGAGGAGCGAAAAGTGGAGACGGTTGGAGTAGAGGAGCCACTAAATGAATGCGAAGGCATTCGTGGGCGCCTTCCGCTGGTATTTACTGGGATGTGAAATGTTCGATATCCTCACCATCCTTATCTCAGGAGAGAGCTGGATTCTGCTATTCTACCTCAAAAGAGCTGTTGACTCTTGTTGTTTGTTTACTCAGGCAACGATAACGGTTCGTGCCATATGCGCTCCACAGCGATTGGCGATCTTACAATGTAGCAGCCTACTCGCCAGGCGCTCTGCCTTGCAGCCAAGGTGATTGCAGCGCTCTCACGGCGATGCCAAACGGCTGGCAGCGATCTCTTGTTCACACCCATGTATGTTGCATTTGCGTTTTAGCGGAATGCAGGAGTTTAGCATTGACCAGGGGACCCCAGTCTCCCCCATACTCAAATACAACTGGTGGCTGTACATGTACTGATCTGCCGGGCTAATGCTCGAACGAAAAAGGTTATTTTCGGTTCCCCTCGCAAGATATTTTTATTCTTGTTGTCGTCGCCCACATTCTTCATCAGAGTCTCCTGCACTAATGTTTCGCAGAGATCTAGACCATGACCCAGTTGATGCTTGAATAAAAGGCTGAGACCAGGACGGTACATGCGGTAGTCTAGTCTCAGTTTCTAGAGCATGGACGGGTATATCAGCAAGCAGTGCGTCCATCCCCAACCAACCCGAGCACCACCCAGGCAGATCTTGCCGCGATCTTCATTCTCTCCACTAGCCGAAAATGTGGAGGCGGCTAAGCTCGCTGCTAAAATGTCGCGCAGTTGACCCCCATCGAGATTTGCCGTTTTGGCATGCGTCACTCCGGTGCACAGACCACAGCCGCAGGGCGGAATGTGAGATAGACTGACACTTACGCAGAGGGCGAAGTTCTTCCCGGACACAATTGCTGATAGATTGCTGTGATAGAACCCTTTGCTTCACCTCAACCAAGGTGTCGTGCTACATCGAATTTGGCATTGGACATGAATCGTAGCAGGCCCGGTTGTTTTCTCCACCCTCCGAACCTGACAGCACTGCTTCGGGGTATGATCCTCAACGTATACCCCACCTCGACCCTAAAAGACAGCCGCCGGGCAGTGGTCTCGATGGCCTATGATTTGGCAGTCATGACTTGAAGATCGATTGGCTGGAGGAAATCTCCTGTAATCATAACGCACAGATAGCCTCTCCAATCAAAGCATGACGATGACTCTGCTTCGATAGAGATATTGCAGCGGCAGTAGGCAAGAGGGAAGCAGGTACACTGCGGGTGACAGAGTATCTGAGACCGTGATGCAGGATCAAGGACCTCCGCGCCGTGCCTGTTGCATCCACGGCCGTCATCCGGAGACTTTCTTTTTGTCCGCAGCTGACCCACCAGGGAAGTAGCATGTAAGGCAACTGCAGCCTACCTTGTATCCAATATGGAATCAGACAGCAATTTAGACTTGTTTTGGATAAGCAGGGTTTAGTGAACGAATTTACTGCTTACGATCCACAACCAATGTGCTTGCTATTCCAGCCTGGCATGTGCTCTGCTGGATGTGAGCCTTACTCAGTTGAAGATCCTGCTGAGTGAGGGAGTGCGTCTGATATCTTAGCAGTGCGAACAAGCCGGATTGAACAAGTCTTCGAGGGGGTTTGTGGTCGCTTTAATGCCTTCATGACAACACGAAATCTACTGTTCAAAGTTTTCAATGACTGTTTGACGGGTTTCTCATTCAGTACCTCAGCACTCATTCCTCTGCATCAGAAAGAGCCCGACGGCAGTGGCACTGTCCCAACTAATGCAATGGGAATCAGGTGCACAAGGGGAAGTAAAGACGAGGAAGTCCGGCAAAGATCTGCTCGACCCCACCTTTCGAGAATGCCAGGACTATGGGGTGAGTACCCACTCGTAGGCATACCACGGCTCACATGATGGAAGCAGATAGCTTCCCAGCAGTGCCTCGTATCCACCAAGTGCATTGCTCTGAATTAGTCAACGTTGCTGTTTCAGGACCATGCCATAATCGGTGTGCTGGTAAACGGCTTGCATGAACAGAGATCGCCGGGCGGCTGTTTGGTGCTGGCTATACCACTCGCCTCGCTCGGTCCTGGTATTAGAGAAAACTCAAATCCGTAGCGCATTTTGAATGCTTGCAGGTCCTTGCTAGTGGAGTGTGGATACCTTTACTGCCTTTCGCAATACGTTGCCTCAACGTTAAAGGGTACAGTCGGAGAACAAAAGGTTTCCTCATCTCATACACTGTTTGTCAGAAAGTTTCTATGGATCACAAGCCAAAAAGTAAGCATCGCGATGACAACGAAATTGCTTTTTCATCCGTGGAAGGATTCGTTGCATAAATTCTGGCGCAGTACAATTTAGGTTCCAATCTGTTCCAAGCACGGAGTCGCGTAGCACCGAAGGTTATCTCCCGCCATTCCGTAGATCCTCCCAGCCGGGGCTTCGCCGCACAGGCGAACTGGTGCTGCTGAAACACGGTGGATAAGCCCTGGTTGATATCCACTCTCGGTAAGTCTTGGCTTCAATTTGAGGGACTTGCCTTTCTAGGGCAGCATCCTCTTTTGGCAAGAGACACTCGGTATAGAGTGTCGAATTGTGCATTTCATGGAGAGTTGGAGTTGTGCTTGAAAATGTCTAGTTTTGTCGTATGATCGATGAGATCTCCAAGAAATAAGGTGGCTGGGTGGAGATGGCGAATTTGATCTCATTTCCTGGATTTTGATGCCAGAAATCATGGTCCGAAGAGGCTGGTTTTACATCACTTGTCAGCCTTGATTTCTGAAACAGATGACTAAGACTAGAATGTTTCCGTAATCAGCGCCTTGGCATTCCCCGCAGATCTTCTAATGAGTACTAGCACTACTAGTAGCAGGAGCTTACTAAGGGGGCGGCAGAGTAACTACGCTCGGATTGGACTACATAGTACATTTACTCCACCTCGTTGATCATCTCTGTCTGTCTTCTGTCTTTCGTCTAACCTACTAGTATTGCACAGAAAGCTGCTGAGACTCATCTCTGCAGCTCGACTTTGGTAAAGCCTTGCGTTGACGCAAGCCCGTGCTGCAGGTCGCCAGCGATCTCGTAACAAGCGTGCTGATTTACGCCTGCCATTCAGCATGGACCCCATCTCGGAGAGTTCAGCCCAAGCAGCTCCCTCTGTGGCAACTACCAAAGCACATCCTTGCGATCAATGTCGCCGGCGGAAAGTCAAGTGCGATGGCAAGGAGACCTGCGAAAGGTGTATCTCGTCTGGTCTCCGGTACGTGACGCTTGCATTTGAGGCGGATCGAAACGCGACGTACTCTCGTATGTTCTATAGTCTAACTCGGTGATCAAGTTGCTCTAGAGACATCGTCCGCAAACGACGTGGCCCCAAAAAAGGGTCAGGCTCAATGATTGCGAAACTACGCGATGAAGACAGCCAAATCCTGCAGCAAGGTATCAATATACTCACCATGGAATCACCCTTGTCAGAATCAAGCAGCCGGTTCACGCCATCACTGTCTCGATCAGTGTCAGCAAGCAGTATGCATTCTTCTCCTGTAGTTGGAAGCTTCAGAGATAGTGCAGGCCCGACGTCGAATCCGATCACCATAAAGAATACACCACCCATGCTTCAGATACCACAGCACATCACTTCGGCTCCTGCTTCTATGCTTCCACAGCAAGCAACCCCTGGATCGATGGCACCCACGCCAGATTCTCCAATTCCGTGGCAGATGGCAGATCCAATGCTACCCTTCCTGGAAATCTCACCCAGCTCGAGTGACTTTATCACTGTTAATGAATTTGCTCAGAAGATCTTCGATGGTGAGGATTATCCCTTGATGGCATATCATAATGCGCCCTCCCTCGATGAGCTGGGCGCATGCAGGCCACCGTCTGTCGATCGCGTGATAGCTTCCACTATGGCTCCTGAGCGTGCTAGCCCAACAGTATCTAGCTTTCCTCATCTTTCCCTAGCTGTCTCTCATGCTGATGAGCCTCTTCGATACTGTACAGCCTCGGAAGGCTCAATGCAAGACGGGATTCGGATTGTGGCTCTTGCCGCAGAAATTGGGATGTCTTCTGTTATGATGTCTCAATGTATAAAGCAGTACTTTCACCACCTCTACCCAATTATGCCTGTCATTCACGAGGCCACGTTTCGTCGCAAGTTGAACAGCCCTGAGGAACTATCTTCTGAGGACACATGCTTGGTACTGTCCATGTGTGCGGTCACTATTCTGCACGCATCACCGCCATCAGATTTATCACTAGAAGCCAAAAAAGACATTGGAAGGCAATTTCTGTCGCATTTTCTCAACCTACGACGGGCTTCGGATTGGATAGAAGACTCATCCCTCAGCACAATCATCGCATCCTATTTCGCATCAGTATCTTACTTCGAGCTCAAACAACCACGATCTTCTCACTTTTACGTTCGAGAGGCAACGGGGATGGCGCTCGAGCAGGGTTTGCATCTTGACTCTTTCCACGTTGGCATGAATCACGTGGCAGAAATTTGCCATCGGCGTACGTTTGCGCTGTTGTTCGTGACCGAGCGAGGAGCCTCGATACTACGCAATAAGCCTATCTCCATCGCGAAACTACCTGCGCTTCCTGTGGACTTTTTTGATGACGAAGATCCTAGCATTCTCACCGGTTTTCAGTGCCTCTGCGAACTGTTTGCTCTGCTAGACGAGAAGTTCATTGAAGTCTGGCGATCGTCAGAAAGCCAAACCGTCAGGCCATCGGTTGAGCATATAGCAGCAATACAAGACAATGTCTCCAATCTGTCGTTCGATCCTACCGATCTTCCCGAGATCCAACGCGCCGACGTGCAAATCACCCAACAATGGCTCCGTCTCATTTTCTGGCAAGCATCAATGCGTCAAGGTATTATATCCAGCCATTCGTCCAACCCAGCCTTCACCTATAGCTACCCGATCCACATTGCCAAAACTCTCTGCGAGCAAATGAGCAACATGTCTATCAATGCCGTCGCTGTCCACGGTCTGGGCATCTTTGAAAAAGTCTTCGAAGTCGCCTACACCCTCATGGATGCCTTGACCATTGCCAAGACTCCCTGGTCCGAATCAGAGGAGTTGAGATATCTGTTTAGTTGCTTGTCGGCTAGTCCGAATAGTCATAGTACTTATGTCAGAATGCTGGAGACGAAGCTGGATGGGCAGAAGTTGACCTTGCATAGTATCAGCAAGGGAGGCAAGATTTTGCAGAGTCCGGGGTGTCCAGAACAGCAGCAGCAGCAGCAGCAGCAGCAGCGTCATGAGCGTCCTGTGCAGAAGTTGCCCCATGGTAGGAAGAGGGCTCGGACAACGGATAGTCATACCAGCCATCCGAGGATTTCATGATGTCAAAGAATTCAACCTAGTCGCATGGGACGACACTGGTCAAGACGACCATGCCAGAGGATACCTGGGTGCTGACTGTACTTCTAGCTTGCTTCGCCCAGTGCAGATTTCTCCTTGCTTACTCTCACTCTTGGCATACGCCTTAAGTGTGCTCGAAAGAGTGATCTCGCATTATCAGCCAACCCGCCGGCTCAAATTGCGGCTGGAGAGGGAAAACCCGTAGTACGGCTCGAGCTCTGATCCGAGACCACAAGCACCCGAAACAAGATCCGCCATCTCCAATCTCATTTCACGGCTCCCACGAACTTAGCAAAACCTCAATCCCGTCGCAGCCCTGCCTCGCGGTGTGGCTGGAGATCAGTCTCACCCGACGGACAGGATCTTGATCCGACAATCCTTCAGTCGAAAGTTCACAGCGGCAACACCGTGTCTGTCACAAATCCCCTGCAGCCTGGACAGATGAGATCGGATCGCATTAGATCAGTTGAGTTGAGTTGAGGCGAAGAGATCCCGGCTCACGCACCAACTTCCACCCTCGAGACCTCACTCCGATACGATAGGACAGGATAGCCAAAAGGGGGCACAGCTGTGCCGGAGATCTAGACGGCTGGTTCTTCCTCCGTTTTTGCACGCACGCTCTCTTTCTCTCTCTCTCTCTTGGGTGAGCTGTGCTTTTATTGGCCATGTGTCTGGCTCTTGGACAGGAGCATGCACAACTCGGATTGATTCAGGGCTTGGAGAGGCCCTGTTGCTGAATAGCAATACATACGTATTGAGAATATAGCGAGTCTAGCTTAGTACAAGATGGGGATAAGGCAGGGTAGTTGGGGTTCGTGCGATGCGATGTGGCATGCGCATCATGCTGATTGTTTGTTGGAAGGGGTGGAGGTGGATTTATGCG